TTCAATTGTTTTATATCTCAGGGCCAGCACATAGCAGATGTATGAAATTTGGAGTGTTAGACATAAACTTTTATTACCAAATTATAAATAATTTCTCCCACTTATAATGTTCACCTTTCAAGTTCAGCTTGATTAAAATACAAGGGCAGCATCACACCAATTTCACTGAATTTTACAGCTGAGAGAGGTTTTCTAGAGTTCACGGAGGAGCATAAAGAATCATGGCATTTGGAAGACTCTCCTCACAGAGGCTCAGACCGTAAGCCCATCTCTTTTGAAATTCAAAATGATGGTCAGTGAGATCTGGGCATGTATTTAAACATCTTGAACATCACATCAAAACCAGTGTCCATGACGTAGAATATATCTTATCTCTTGATAAAAATAAAAGGTATACTGCCTTTCCTGAGAAATTTGTCCATCAGTCAATAAGCTTACATTCCTTCTCAGAAGATTTACAGTACAGTGCTGAATAATAGAAACATTGGCCCCACTTTCATAGAACAGACAGTTTAGTGATGGAGAAAACAAATACAGATACACACATAGACCCATTGTTATAGAATTATAGCATTTACAAGTGGTACAAAGAAGTATAGTGTACTATGATCATGAACAAGAGGAGGAACCCAATCTAGTCTGAGGGAATACCAAGGCTTTCTTTAAAGAATTTATGTATGGACTGAGACCTAAGCATACTACAAGTTAGTCTGGTGAAGAGAAAGGGATTTGCGCTCCAAATGATGAGGTCAGGATTAGGGCTGTCACAAAAACGCAGAAGATGATACAGTTTGAATTGGTTAAAGAAAAGGGAGAATGGAAGTGGGTGACAGTTTTAATGCCCATCAGCATAAGAGACAAGGCATTGGCTCCATTTGAGGTAGAGAGTTGGAAATGAGACTGCTGCATGAAAGTGAGATGTTTGAAAGGCTACGTTGTAGAAGGAGGAAGAGGAGGAGAGAGAGGGAGAGGAGGAGGAGGTAAAGGAGAAGAAGAAATTCAACAACCATAGAATATTTTTTTCTCATCTTCTTTAACAAATAATTTTCACATCCCATAATAAAAGATAGGTGATAGTGGTCCAAGTACCCAAAACTAGGATTTGATGGGTTAGCTGTTTCTATTGTCCAGTCTGAAGGTCCAGGTTGGGTTCAAGTGCATACTAGCACTTCACACCAGGTAATGCATTGCTGGAACAAGATTAGCCAGTGTTCTTAGAAGCCTACCACTGATTGGGTACTAAAATCTGCTTTGGAGACTGTTGGCCAATCCAATTCCATATTTATACCTATCAGTAGGAGCATTAACATAATATAACCACCCATGTATCCACAGTGTTGCTGGGTGTTTTATAAAGTAAGCTAGACACAATACCTTCTCTTATGAACATGAAACATTGTGAAAAATAGTTTTTTTTAAAAGCATAGGACTATAGACACTTGAAACAAATAATGAAATGGCAAGAGTTCACCTTAACATTTTATACCAACATATGCCTTTAAAAAAAAAATTAACGTTTATTTATTTTTGAGAGACAGGGGTGGGGGAAAGGGCAGACAGAGAGAGGGAGACACAGGAGCCTCAGAGCAGGCTCTAGGCTCTGAGCTGTCAGCACAGAGCCTGACATGGGGCTCGAACCCAGGAACTGAGACCTGAGCTGAAATCAGACGCTCTACCCACTGAGCCACCAGGCACCCCCACATTTGCCTATTTTAAGAATAATAGTCTCAAGAGAAGAAGACAGGCCACAGATTGGGAGAAAGTTTTTGCAAAGACATATCTAATAAAGGACTTTTCCAAAATATACAAAGAACTCTTAAAACCCAACAATAAAAAAGACCAATCTTACTTAAAAATGGACAAAAGATCAGAAAAGACACTCAGCAAAGAAGATATACAGATGGCAAGTAAGCATACAAAATGATGCTTCACATCATATGTCGGTAGGGAATTGCCAAATAAAACTACAATGAAATCCACTATACACATATTACAATGGCCAAAATCCAAAACCCTGGAAACACCAAATGCTGGTGTTCATGTGGAGAAACAGGAACACTCAGACATTGCTGGTGGTGATGCAAAATGGTACAGTCACTTTGGAAGGCAGTTTGACAGTTTCTTACAAATCTAAACATACTCTCATTATACAATTCAGCAAACGTGCTTCTTGGTATTTCCCTAGGGGAATTAAAAACTTATGTCCACACAAAAATCTACATACAGATGTTTATAGCGGCTTTATTCACAATTGCCAAAGCTTGCAAGCAACCTAGATGTCCTTCAGTAAGAGAATGAACCATGGTACATCTAGAAAATGGAATATTATCAAACACTAAAGAATGAGTAGTTGAATCATAAAAATACATGAAAAAAACTTAAATGCACATTTCTAAGTAAAAGAAGCCAATCTGAAAAGGCTACATACCATATGATTCCAGCTTTGTGATATTCTGGAAGAGGCAAACCATGGTGAACATAAAAAGCCCAGGGTTGCCAGGGGTCAGTGGAGACGGAGGGATGAACAAGAAGAGCACAGAGGATTTTTAGGGCAGTGGAAATACTCTGCACGATACTATGACAATGGATACATGCCATTACATGTTTCTTTTTTTTTTTAATATTTTTTATTTATTTCTAGGAGAGAGAGAGAGACAGCGTGAGCAGGGGAGGGTCAGCGAGAGAGGGAGACACAGACTCTGAAACAGGCTCCAGGCTCTGAGCTGGCAGTCAGCACAGAGCCCGACGCGGGGCTCGAACCCACGAACCGCGAGATCATGACCCAAGTGAAAGTCGGACGCTTAACCGACTAAGCCACCCAGGCGCCCCTACATGTTTCTTAAAACCCATAAGGCACAACACCAAAAGCGAACCCTAATCCAAACTATGGACTGATAGTTAGGTGGTGAGGATGCATCAGCATAGGTTTATCAATTGTAAAACCTAAGCTCAACTAAACTCTGTGAGCGAAACTAAATCTTGTCAAACTATATTTATGACTTTAGGGCTCCTTAATAAATGAATGTTTGCGTTCAGGGTTTTGAAGACTAATCCTTGGTGGACTAGGGTTCAGAAAAAGTCTTGTGCATGTTTTCTTTGTATAATAAAAGATGCAAGAGAAAAACTTGTGAAATATGGAGAGTTACCTTGTGAATCAGTAAAAGTCAGTTATAAGTTGGTAAGGGGATTCTGGGCACAACTCATTTTGATATACTTGTTGGCTCATGAAGTAATTCACTGAAGTAATTCACCCCATTTGTCTAGTTGGGCCTTTATAGATCCATGCCCTTTGAAAAAGTTTGCAACTACCTCTGCAGGTGAACCATGACCTTAAAACTCCTCATTGTTCCAAGCTTACCACACCAGTCTTAATGACTCCACCAGGGTTCTGTGGTAATGGGGGAATAGCTATGAACCAAACAATTCTTTTTTAATAACTGAAACAACTGGTGAGTAACATGGTACAATGTGAAGTCTTTGTGAAGAAGGCTTTTGGGAACAGGGCTTTATATCCTCTTACATTTATGCTTTTCTAAAAATTTTTTTAAGTTTATTTATTTATTTTGAGACAGAGGCAGTGTGAGTGGGGAGGGGCAGAGAGAGAGGGAGAGAAAGAGAGAGAGAGAGAGAGAGAGAGAGAGAATCCCAAGAAGGCTCTGCCTTGGCCAGGGGCCTGAACTCATGAAACTGGAGATCATGACCTGAGCTGAAACCAAGAGTTGGACCTTTAACAGATGGAGCCACCTGGGTGTCCCTATTATGCTTGTTCTTTACAGCTAATTGTTTAAATGATACTTAACTTTTTTAACATTATATTTTATGCTGTAAGAACTTCAAATACAGCCTTTTCAATAAATTTGTAATGCTTGGTTTTTACCCAAAGTGAGCTTTTATAGAAAGATTATAAAGAAATCTCCCTCTCTTTTTTTTAACGTTTACTTAGTTTTGAGAGAGAGAGAGAGAGAGAGCGCACGAGCTGGGGAGGGCCAGAAACACAGGGAGACACAGAGTTCCAAGCAGGCTCCAGGCTCCAAGTTCAGAGCTGTCAGCACAGAGACAGAGCCTGAGGCCAGGCTCAAATCCACAGAGTCCAAGATCATGACCTGAGTCCAAGTCCAATGCTTAACCGACTGAGCCATCCAGGCACCCCTAAGGAAATCTCTTTTTTCCATCAAATCACACCCTGATTTGTTTTCTGTGGGCCATATCAAAGAGCCTATCTCTTCAACTAGGAGGTATTTACAAGAAGGGAAACTCATTTTTATCATAGGAAAAAATTATGCATCTTAGATACATAACACTTAACAGGGTTAATGAAGAGTCTTTTTAAAGAGACTATTTTTTGTTTATAGTGTTACAAATCATAAATAGAATTAAAGTATAAGTTTGCAGTTGATGAGGACATGTGTGTAAGGAGAAAAGGAATCAGGTCTTGGTATAACAGTTTTCTTTTTTTTCTGCCCTTTCCATTAATAGCAAGAATATTGAGAATTCATGCAAAATTCCAAACCAAGTTCCCATAGTAGCACTTAAATAGTGTCTGCATACCATTTTCAATTAGAACTAGATTGTAATGTAAAGCAATTTATGCCATTATAATACAGTTACTTTAGTGATTTTAATTCTTTTTGTGGCAATTAGCATTGCCATGGAAACAATCTTTTGCTAATAATTACTTCCTCTTCACACACTTACCCAAAAGTGGATTTAAAGATTTGAGGCTGCCTGTTTTATTTATTTACTCATTAATTTAATTAAGGACCTTTCTGGGTATGTAGGTGTAGCAGTAAAATTCAGTCTAGTATGACTTTATTTCTTGCATTTCTGCCTAAAGGAAATTCTGGCTAAAAGATCACTTCCAGTTTTCCTTTCTAAGGGTGTTTGCTTTCTGTTAGAAGACAGAGCACCAGCGCTCTCTACTTTGACCTCCAAAGCACCAACCTTGCTTTTAGGCAAAACAAGCTTCTTGGATTTGCGCGTTCCGGCGAAGTCCGGCCTTTTCGGCCCTCGTAGGCTGCCGTAGCAAAGAAAGGCAGCAATTTCTTCCCCAGAAAAGTGCCGCCTGCCTCCGCCGTTTCGCTTTCGGTTTCACCCCAGTTGTTCGCGGAGGCGGGCTGGTGGAGCTGCTGAAGCGGAGCTTTGGATCCCGGCCATCAGGTGAGCCAGGCGGCCATGCGGGCGGTTCGAGGCCCCAGTGTTCGCTCGCGCCGGGAGGGGGGTGGGGGTAGCAACCCGGATCTGGCCAGGACGGAGCGTGGATTCCGGAGCCCGGGGATGGCGGGTGCCAGCAAAATGCCGCGCTCACCGCCTCCTCGGCTCCTGGAAAGACCGGGAGAGCGGGAGATCCGTGGTCGCAGGCCCTGAGACCTCCGCACCCCCACGCGCCACCGCGGCACCCGGAAGGGGGGCGTCTAGACCACGCGGGGATGAAAGGCAGCTGCCTGGCCCCACCGAGTTGGTTTCCGAGACCAATCCTGGTGTAAAAGTACCCGAGGGAACCCCGACGTTAGCCTGCGGATTGGGAGAGAAAGCGGGCCCCGAATACACGGGTAGGCTTCGCCTGGTTCCCGGGGCTACGCTGACCGCGTCCGGGTGGTTCCGGCCCCCCCCCTCCACCCCCGAGTTAAGAGCTGGACCAGGCCGCCTTACCGAGTTCGCAGATTTCGGATGCCTACGGTTTTATGATCTTAAGTCCAATCACTAGGACTTTTGTGTATAGGTGTGTGCGCGCTCGCTCTTAGCAGGTGTTTTTAGAGTGTCTAGAATTAGGCTGATACAGGTAAGGTTGGTGGTAGTGACTTAGTGTGCCCCCCGCCCCCCCGGTTTAGTAATACAGGATTATTGAAAAATTGAAAACACAGAAGATTTTAGTAAAGGAAGTAATATTCACTGAAACCTTTCCGCCTGCCATTTCTTTGTGTATTTTACTCTTGTATGTGCTACCTTCTATTCGAGCTCAGACTACCTGTTTAATCAGTTAACACTATATTCAGTTGTCCACTTTCATTTAAAATTCTTCCTAAATACTTCTAATTTTCTTTTGATTGGCTACCTATTCTACCATTGGGTAGGTCCCCTAAATTCAACCATTGCCCGACTGTGAGGCATTTAGGGTGTTTGTGAATATTTGCTTCATTTCAGCATCCCAGGGAATGCTTTGGTAAAGTTGTTTTTTTTTTTTTTTTTTTTTTGTAAAAAACTCTATTTCAGATTATTTACATGGACTAGATTCTGAGAAGTGAAATTATTACAATAGATGCTGTGTCCTGCTAAGGTCATTTTAGAGCTTCATACCCATTGCCAAATTGTTTTCCAGAAAAGTTTTAGTAGTTTATGTCATTCATGTATGATAGTGCCTGTTTTCACCAGAAGTGTGATAGCTCATAATACATTTCTAATACATCAGCCTCTCTCTTTTTTATGTTGATGTTTCACAATTCCATTGGCTTGAGTTTTCTGCAGGAGTCTACAGGATTATTTTGGTGTGTGTGTGTAAATGTATTTTTGGAGCATAAGTTAGCATAGGATGACTGAGTGTTAGAGCAAGGTGATCTCTTAAGTGATCATCTAGCATAACTCCCTTATTTTGCAGATGAGGAACCTGGGGCCTTGAGAGGTGAAATGAGTAGTTATCCAAGGCATACAGCTAAATTAAGTAGCAGAGCTGGGATTAGAACTCAGGTTTCCGGTCTCCCAAGTGAGTACTCCTTATACTGCATTAGGTGGTCTCTCACCAAACTGTGGCATACTTGGTATGAGAATTTTTAAAACAAAGGTTTATGTCACTTGGATTATTCTATCCTTTTAGACTTGTACTAAAGAACAAAGACTTTAATTATCTGAGGGAACTGTAACACTGAAAATGGGAAATTGACCTTTTTCAGGACCAGAACTAGAAATCCATTATTTAAAAAAAATTTTTTTTTAATGTTTATTTCTTTTTGAGACAGAGATAGAACATGAGCAGGGGAGGGGCAGAGAGAGGGAGACACAGAATTGGAAGCAGGCTCCAGGCTCTGAGCCGTCAGCACAGAGCCTGACGCAAGGCTCGAACCCCTGAACCATGAGATTGTGACTTGAGCCGAAGTCGGATGCTTAACTGACTGAGCCACCCAGGCGCCCCTAGAAATCCATTATTGATAATGGCAACCCCTTCAAGATTTTCTTTTTTAGTTTTTTTTAAATGTTTATTCATTTTTGAGAGAGAGAGAGAGACAGAGAATCCGAAGCAGGCTCTGCACTGCCAGCGGCAAGCCCGTTGTGGTGCTCAAACTCACAAACTGTGAGATCATGACCTGAGCTGAAGTCGGATATTCAACTGACTGAGCCACTCAGGTGCCCCCAAGGTTTTTTGAGGGTTGTTTTCAGATTCTCTTTATGTCAGGATAACGTATCTAATAAGTTATAATTTGTACTCTATTTAATCTGGTTAGAATTGAGCTGTTCTCATTTATTATACCTTGAAGGTTTTTAAAAACTCCTTGTTGCTTTAAGACCAGAGAACAATGGTTTCTTGATTTAGGGTTTATAACAGAGTTTTTCAATCTCAGTTGACATTTTGGGTCAAATAATCCTTTGTCGTGGAGGGCTGTCTTATGGTTTGTAGACTGTGAGGCAACGCCCCTGGTCTCCATCTACTAGGTATCAGTAACACCACCCTTCTCCAGAATGTCTCCAGACATGTCCCAATGTCCCCACTTGCTTATAGCAGTCACTTGGGGAATTTTATGAAAATGTGACGGTGCCCCCTTTGCCAGGGAGTCTGATTAGCAGTAGGCTTCAGGAATCTGCATTTTAACAAGCATCTCTGTTTATTCGATACAGCTGATTCTTATACAACACAGAAGCATTTCAGTTTTCTTCATCTTTCTTTTATTTGATGGTCAGTAACAGAGTTATTACTGTGCCATAGCTATTTAAGTGCACAGATGATACCGTGCTAGTTACTATACTGTAGTTTGTGGGTAGGGGAGAAATGGACAGAGATTTTCCTTCACTCTGACGTTAAATGCACCCCCACAGGCTTGGCTAGTGAGCTTAAGAAACAGGGATACCATTTCCCTTGCCTCGGAGAAGCTTAGAACCTTCCGTGGGAAATTGGTCAACAGGAAAACTACAGAACAGCCCAAGAAGTGGAAAGTGGTACTCTGAGTGCTGGGGTTCCTGGCTCACCTGAGAGGGGTGAGGAAAGCAGCCCCCTGCTGCGTGGGGAGGAGGGATTGGTGTGAAGCCTTCAGAAGGGGGCCAGGTCTGCCCCTGTCTCAGAAGGGAGATGTTAAGGGAGCTGCTTTCAGTGTCTGAGGCCCTCTCAGCCTAGAGCTGTGTTTACTTGGGTTGTAATGTTGTGTTTCATCATGGTATTTTTACTTTTCACATTTTTTCCCCCACCCTAAGCTGTCAGTATTCTACGAGTAGGTGAAAGTTTACTGGTAAACATTGCCAAGAAACCAGGATTTGCATGTCTTCTGCTCAAAAGCATAACTCAAAATCACATCAGATCTACTTCTGAACCTTTGACCATTGTTCTTTCTTCACAGGCTATTTGTCACTTTAGGCATTTTCCCTCCGGTGCTTCTGCTCTCCACCCAGATCTCCACGGACGTCTCCACGCATGTCTGTGGCCATTCCCCAGGTTTAGCAGTAGATTCTCTAGACATTTTCAAAAGGCAGCTTTGAAAGGGCTTAGGCTTTGGGACAGAAAGGCTTACTTCTGCTTACCAGCTTGCAGGGTTACTATGGGAATTGCTTGTGAATCTAACATACATAAGTTGGATGAATAAAATGTGGTTCCCCCCCACCCATTCTTTTACTAAAAAAAAAAAAAAATTCTGCAGGGCTGTTTGCAGTTGTTCTTATACTGGACCTCTCATCTCAGTAGCTTATAGCAGAAAATATACAGCCTTTGACTTCATAGCCATTTCTGAAAATAGGTCATTTAAAACAAGCCTGAGTAGGAGTCAGGGGAGGGAGAGAGCCATAGAGGTGATTATGGCTTTAATTTTGAGGGGGGAAGTTTTATCAAGGTGACCCTGCAGAAAGGAGGCCTTTTTCCTCTTATGTGTTTATGGTTCAAGAGGCTTTTCTCTTACTTCAGAAATGGTCAGAACTGTTCCTTTTGCCTTAACCAATTTAAAAGATGAACAGTTAAAATTACATGAGCCAAGTGATGGGAAAAATTGTGATGTTGAGACCAATTTACTTGTACAAAATGGATTTATAGGCCAGTCATTAAGTAACAGGGAGTACCCAGGAAGCCTAATGAAGATGAATGTAAAAGACGTGGCCTCTTAAAGTGATGGGTAAAATGTGTTTGAAGCAACCACCCTCTTTTCAAATAACTCAAAATTTTTTTTTTTCCAAGAGATTCTGCAGAAGGAAGATGTCCTGGAGAATAAATGAGAAGCTTGGTATTGGACTTTCCTTTCATGGGGCTCACAGTCTTTTGAGGGAGAAAGGACTCATATAAAAAAAAGTAGAGAATATGAAAGAGACTAGTGACAGGTGATATCAAGTACAACCCAATGGGAAACTCACCCTGCGAGGCGAAGTGAGCTGATCACCTCCATGCTGCAATGGAAGGAAGGGGGAAGGCGGACCTCATGCAGGTCTCTGCTTAGAGCCCTCCCGTGTTCCCTGCCACTGACACAGCATTCCCCACACTAACCAGTTCAGGAGAATCTGCTGGGCGTGTGCAGGCCCGTTGTGGGATTTTCGCTGGACCACTGACTCAGAATCCCCAAGTGGGCCGATCGATTGATGTCTGGGGAAGTGACCTGGCCGGCTCAAGCCCAAGCTCTGTTAGCCTGACTTGCCCTGCTCGCCGGGAATGTGGCCCTTCTCCCGCAGCTACACTTTGTCCTCCTTGCCTGTGTAACATTTTCTTCTCAAACCCAAACATACCTCTGCCTTTGCCAAGATTTCTGTTCTTTCAGCCAGTGGACTCCTTTTCCTTCCCACTCAGCTCAGGTGTCTCCCCGAGGAAGCCTTTGACCCTCCAAGCCTGTGCTAAGCAAGCTTCTCTTTGCTGCTCCCTGCATAATTCTATCCAATTACCTACAACTTTTTGAAAAGTTCTCCATTGGCCTGTTCTTGTGCCAGCTGTGGAGCGTTAACTCTGAGGGCCCAAGGCTCCGTGTGTCTCATCAGAGTCACACCCCCAGCCTGCCTCTGTGCCTGACTTAGAAGTGTTGAATGCCTTCAGGAAGAGATTGATGTTAATTAGGGTAAAGATGTGGCTTAATGGCAGAGGTGTGATCTTTGATGAGCTTAGAAGAATATTATCTATGCTTTTTAAAAAGGTGAAGAAAGAAGGTAACATTTTTAAAATAATTAATACCAGCAGTTGTCTAGGTTTGTGGTCTTTTTTCCTGTCATTAACTTCATTTTGGACAAGGTGGTTGATAATATTTCTGTCTACTAGATTTTCACATGACAATGCATCACAGTGTTTTTTTTTAAACACAAGATAAACAGCTAATTTCATCTTATGTCTTGTACCTAGGAAGTGCCCTAAGGGGATTTCCCATCTAATAGGAAATGAGCCTGACTCAGGAGTTGAGTCTCTATCAGGCCTTTGGGGTTAATAGTCTCTCTAGGTCTGTTCAACCTAACAGCCCATTCAGTACATAAATAAGGCAGTTGGTAGACAAATGGGAAGATTTGTTTGTTTTTACTAAACTCCTCAAGAGTACTGAATCTGTTACAGGATTTACTTTGTAATATTTTTTCTTGTGTTCAAAACAGCATAAATAAAATTGTTGTGTGGTCTGAGTCTTGACTGAATAGTGGTTGTACTTCCAGTTATCTCTTGAGACTGTAGCTACAAAAATAAACTGGGAATCCAGTGGAAAAGTTAAATTAAAACTTGCTGAGTAAAATAATTAGCTGATCACATTTTAAAAATCTTTCAAGTCTTGGGGAGATGGAATAGGGAATGGTCCAAATAGCAGCTCCAAATTCAAGAATACTTTGTGAAATTTGCATTTTCTCTTATTTAACTCAGGATGTTGACTTTTTGCGGTTAAAGAAAATTATTTTACTGAAATTATAATCACATTTGTTTACTCACACTCTTTGAACAAGAGTTTAAATTCTTCTAGATTCTAAGTTCTTTAAGGTCAGAACCTGTGTGTATGACATGTTTGTGAATTTCTTTGAAAATATGTGCAGACATACGTGTATTTGTTGAAGACACGAAAAGCCCACAACCTAGCATTCTACCTTACCCAAACTGCTGAGCCAGCACAAGCTCACTGAGGAAATCTCCAAATGGTGTTCCTAGCCGTGAATTCAGATCACTGAGTGAATAGACTTAGAGTGAAATAAGCTGGGCTATTTCTGGAAGAATGTGTTATGAAAATTTTGATTGAAAACAATTTGAATTCTTGAGGAGAGTCCTTAAAATAGTGTATCCTATTGATTTTTAAGTGTCAATACTCTATGGCTACTACATGATAGCTGCATTTGCCTGAAACAGAAAAATTAATTTTCGGAGTCCTTTTGCTGTCAGTTTTTGCCTAAGTAACTACAGTTTTGTTATGTTTGTTTACCAGAATATCTTGAGCCAGATAACTGTTATATAACAAGATGAGTTTTGAAAGGAGTCTTTGGCAACTTTGTTTGATTTGGGTATATAATGCTCTGTCTGTTTTTCAGAGCCCTTTTCTTGAATTTTAAGCCGCCTTCTTACTATAAAAGGCAAACTATGGAATGGGAGAAGATACTTGCAAGAGACATATCTGATAAAGGGTTTAGTATCAAAAATATTTTAAAAAAACTTCTGAAACTCAACACCCAAAAAACAACCCAATTAAAAAATGGGCAGATGACATGAACAGGCATTTTCCCAAGAAGATATACAGATGGCCAACAGGCACATGAAAAGATGCTCATCACTGATCACCAAGGAAATGCAAATCAAAACCACAATGAGAAATCACATCACACCTATCAGAAAGACTAAAATCAACAATGCAAGAAACAACAGGTGTTGGCAAGGATGTGGAGAAAAAGGAACCCTATTGCACTTTTGGAGGGAATGCAAACTGGTACAGCCATTCTGGAGAACAGTGTGGAGGTTCCTCAAAAAGTTAAAAATAGAACTACCCTATGAAAGTATTTACCAAAGAATATGAATACATGAATTCAAATGGATATATGCACCCCAGTATTTATTTATAGCAGCATTATTTACAGTAGCCAAGTTCTGGAAGCAGCCCAGGTGTCCATCAGCTGATGAATGGATAAAGAAGAGGTGGTATATATATACAGTGGAATATCATTCAGCTATAAAAAGAATGAAATCTTGCCATTTGCAATGACATGGATGGAGCTAGAGAGTATTGGTAATGCAGAAGTGAAATAAGCCAGTCGGGAGAAAGACAAACACCATATGATTTCACTCATATATGGAATTTAAGTAACAAAACAAACAAGCAAAGGGTAAAGAAGAGAGAGACAAACCAAGAAACAGACTCTATAGAACAAACTGATGGTTACCAGAGGGGAGGTGGGCAGAGGGATAGGTGAAATAGATGATGGGGATTAAGGAGTACACTTGTGATGAGCACCAGGGATTAAAATAAAAGTTACAAAAAAAAAAAAAAGAATTATATAGAGTATATATCTTTATTATAATTATAATAGAGTAAATCAAAATCTCTGTCTGCATTAGCAACTTTCAGAAGGCTATATAAGGTTATGATTAAGAGCATGGGCTGGTTGTCTGCTTATTAGCCATGTGACCAGAGCAGCACCTCTGTATCTTTTTCTTCATCTGTAAAATGAAGATTAAAAACAACACCTCCCTCATAAGGTAGTGAGGTTTAAATGGATTCATACATAAAAAGTGCTTGGATAAGTGCTGACATACAGTACATTCAAATACTAGTTCTCAATTATGATTATAATTATTTTCAGAAACACTATTTTGGTATCAGTCGTTTGTAAATATGTCTACATTGTATAACATAGATTTTAAAATATGATTGATTTGAGCTTGAATGTTGGTTCCATCACATTTGGGGGGCATACTATTTCAGTTTTTGAGCTTTTATTTTTTCATTAGCAAAATGAAGGTATTAAGAAGTTCTTTCCAGGGTTCATACAAAGATCTAATGTGATAGTGTTTATAAGGATGTTAGCAGAGTGTTCAGCATAGAATAAGCATTCAGCAAATGATGGAGGTGGCGTGGCTATAATGCGTATACCGACTGTGTATGAGTAGTGACAGGCGATTGAGAACAGGGGTCTATTCACACAGGGGGCTGTGGTGAAGCTGTGTCATGGGGTTGTTGTGGGTTAACTGGGTGAGATAATGCATTCACTTAGTATCTGGTTGTGAGTGCTGGAAACATGTTAGCTGCCCCATTGCGGCCACAGTAGTGAATGATGTCGTCTTCATCTCTGGTCCTTTGATACTTCCTACAAATATGTTAAAGATTTTCAGGCTTGTTGTTGTTGAATAATTAACTTTTGTCTTTACTTTTATTACGCCTTTTCAGATTTTTGATCCGGATTGTTAAAATGAGTCTACGAAAGCAAACCCCCAGTGACTTCCTAAAGCAAATCATTGGACGACCAGTTGTGGTAAAATTGAATTCTGGAGTGGATTATCGAGGTAATATTTTCATGCTTCATCCTCACTGGTGCAACTAAATAAGTAAATAAAACTTAACTAGTTTTTATCAATACCTTAAACATACCTGGGAGACCAAAAATGCATGGGTTCTCAGTAGTTTTTACACCCTTTTCTTTTTCTACCCCGGAGATAGTTCCTTTTGGAGACTGTGCAGATAGCAGAGAGTGCGACTTCCATTGTGATTTGTGTGACCGCTGTCTCCTGTCTGTGTTTTGAGGCTGTGTGTGCCTAAGCTCCTGGTAAGAGCCAGGGTTCTCAGTCGCCTCAGACATAACTAACTGGATACAGTAGAACACCTTAGCCCAGCAGCTTTCATTTTGCTGAAATATTCAAGATTGACAGGCAGCTATTTAGACAGTATCATTTTACAACATGAACTTCCCACTCTTACAGTGTGCATGGTATACACCTTTCTTCTCTTTTAGAGAATGTTCATTTTAAGAGGCTGTGACACTACTGAAATTAACTTTGTAGGAGGAATGGTATCACATGCCATTTTTAAAATTCCTAATTTCTAAATTCCTAATCTTCTGAAATTTAAGTATGTTTAATTACCTGGACTATTTCACGGGTGCAGATAACTAATTCATTAGCAGAGTAAAGCTTTTCTTTGTCTCTTTTCTGAATGATGATAGTAATCTTGAGCTTTTTCCTCTTTCCACACATGCAAGTTTAATTTTACTGAGAACTTACTGTGTGTCCGTTGTGTGCTAATCATTTCAGTTTCCAGTGTAAATCCTTTGAGATACCTATTTATCCCCATCTAGTAAGGGAGGAGCTAGCACTCCTAACTCAAGCTTAACTTAAAAGCCTTGTTAAAAAAAAAACCACTGTGTTTGTACTGCTTGAGTTTCTTGATATCAGTAATGTATCTCCAGTGTAATTCAATTTTTGTAGTGGAACTAATGGGTTTGTACTGAATACTGAGATAGAAAGTCTCTATGTACTTTACACCCATACGCTTTTGATGAGCTCAAAGGAGATACCAGACTTCTAGAGATTTGAACATATTCAGCAGTTGTTGAGGGTGGGGACATTATGTTCAGTATCTTCTCAGGATCCACATCATTGAGGAGATTAGCCAGCCTAGCTTGAGTTTTTTTCTCCTTACTCATTAGGGAAATTTTTTGAATTTGTAAAGGTAAAATATGTGTTTTTCTTTCTTTTTTTCTTTTTTTAAAGAAAGTTCAAAGCAAATAATGAAGAAAAGCATATAGAAGAAAGCAGTGGCCCCAAATTTTCCATCAAGATAATCAGGCTTACCAGTTGGGACCTGTGACCATATAAGCATAATTTTATATAAATGGGATCATCTGTACATACACCCTGATTTTCTCTTTTTTACATAAAAAAAAATGCATCCAGTTCTCTGACACTATAGAATGTTTAATGCTATGTAGGAGTACCTTGTATGGTACTCCTTTGTTTTTGTTTTTAACCACTTTCCTGTTAATGGGCATGTAGGTGTTTACCAAGTTTCTGCTATTTTAAGTAAACAACTCTTACTTCTTTGACATGTATTTTGAACACTTGTCCAAGTATTTCTTTAGAAGAAAATTCCCTGGGCTAGGATTTCTGTGTTAATGAGCTTGCCAAGTGGTCCTCCGTCAGGGCAGATGGGTTTATTCTTCTCTCTGTTCTCACCAACCCTTGTATCAGCCTTGTTTTCAACTTCTCCATTCTAATTGGCAAAATAGTTTCATTTTATTTCTGTTTCTTTGTTTACTAGTGAAGCTGAACAGGCTTTCACAGGGCTAGTAACCATAATGCTTAAATTAAAGCCCAGCTCTCTGTAACAATTTCTCTTGAAGTTTGAAGAAAACTTTGTTTCTTCTGTTATTCATAGTAGTTTATCCCTTAGAGAAGGGAGGGGGAATTACAGCCTCCTGGAATCTTTTTCTTCAAACAACCTTTGTGAGGAGAAGGGATAGTTTTATTAGTGAATATTTCATTTCGAAATGTTTTTGGTTAAGTTTCAAACAGATTTGCCTATCATGTTTCAGAAGTTTCCTGCCCGTTTCGGATTATGGTTTTAATGTAAAATGATATAGCAGGAAATAAACTATAAAGTTACATTTTAAACTTCTTTTGATAAGAAATCATTGTTAGTAGTTGTTCATAATCTACTCTGGTTCTTTGAAAGCATACAGCTTCTAGCAGAATTCCGTTAGATTAATGTCTTGTGTTCTCATGACACACACAATTGGGAAAAGAAACGTTTTTGTTGAGAGGAAAATGGGGGCAGAGGCAGAGTGAGGAGCATATTAACGAAGTGGAGGCCAAATGAAGCCATCGACTTGACTAATTGAATCAAATTTGTACTGTTTGTTTTCACTTCTTTTCTTCTTAGAAAATACCACTTTAAGTTAGAGACCCAGACCCAGACTTAGAGGCTTCTAGATTTTCATCTTTTGGAAAAAAAATATTATCAGGGCAAGTTTTGCACAATTGATACCATTTTAACACAATTAAAAAGATTCACTCAAACGGTTTTTACTTAACAGCTCCTCGGAATGTCTCGGGCCACTTTTCTATATTAGTCTGGATTTGAAAATATTCTAACTGTGACAAAACAGAAAGGGATGTGTTATAATGCAATATGTTGCCCTGTCTTCTCAAGCTGCTCTTCAGTGTGAGTCACAGCTTTAAGATGTGCCTTCAGGAGCACCTGCTGTCTCCTCTTCTATTATTTTAACAGATTGTGGAGACTTCCTCTTAACCCTGGAGTACATTCATCTGCTGCAGTTGATGTTGCGAAAGAATGCAATAAATCTGCCAGACCCATATTTCACTTAGCGGCTAGAGTAAGAAACGCCACTGGAAGCGAGGAGTCTTGGCCAGTGGTCATTTGTCCCTGCATAATTACCCCACTCCCGAGGTTAGCTTTCAAAGAATGGCGTTTGATTTGCAATACGTTTGTTCTGTTATTCTTGGGAAGGCTTTAGAACTTGCTGTTGTTACCACACGTATCACAAAGCAAGTGGATAGTTTGATGTTTCTCCTGTTAGCAGTGGGTATATGACTGCTTTCACATTGCATGCTTCTTAGCCCGCCTTCACGCCGGCACAGAATGAACCGACTGAGTTTCATTTACAGTGCGAATTTTTAAATTAAGCATGGAAGAACTAACAAATAAAGAGATTGTCAGCGCTAAGGTATACCCTGTAATTTTCAACTCTTATTGCTTAAAGTATCTTCTCTTTGACTAAATCTGCCTCCAGGGGTCCTGGCTTGCCTGGATGGCTACATGAATATAGCCTTGGAGCAGACGGAAGAATATGTAAACGGACAGCTGAAGAATAAGTACGGGGATGCATTTATCCGTGGAAACAATGGTAATATTCTCTCACTGTACGGTTGTGTAACATCCAAAATAAGCTATTTTGTTTATAATCAGGATCCCCAACAGATTTTCTACATAATTCAAAAGTTTAGTTTTAGTTTTGCCTTGTTTATTTTTAACTTCTCACATCTCGGCTCTTCATCGTGACCAGTTTTTTTAAGATGCCTCCTGGAGTTTTAGAACAGGCATTCTCACCTTCTCTGTCTTCACTACGGAAAAACCGAGGGGCATTAGTATACTGATCCAGAACCCGGTTCTTTTGAATGCAGTTGATCACATTCCCCCCATCGCGCCTCTCACATTGGAGGTTGGAGCCGCAAAGATGGCCGCCATTTCCCCCCCTGTCTTTGGTCAGCATCGTTTGGCCGTCACCTTGTCCCTTGTGTCCTTTCTGTTAAACATTCAGATGCCTGTTGTGGAGATTTGCATCCTTTAGTTTGGCAAAAAAAATGACAAAATAGGAAATGTGGTTCTAAAGTTACTCTGCTAATATATAGCTATGATTATTATAGTTACTTTCCAGAACCTCGTTTTATAGAATTATCATTAAAGTCATGTTTGAATTTCTCAGGGGGAAGGGAAAGACATCAAAACTGTGGTAAATACCCTTTGGCCCATCCCTGCTTTTTGGTCCCATCCCTCAGATGGAGTTCAGATTCTATATTGACATGCATTCTTTAGCTCTGGGTAATTTCTTCACCTCCCCTCCCCCCTTTACAGTTGGATCTTTGCTCTGAACTAAATATCCTGACTTTTATTGTAGGTATTCTATCTTCTATTCTTAAAGCACCAAATTTTCTACATACTCTCTTTTTTTACATCTTCTGCTGGCTTTTTAGTCCTTCTAACATGGAAAATTTCCTATTTTTTTTATGTTATTCTTTATATTATAATATTTACTCCCTCCATTTACTAGAAATGTTATGCTCTTTCCTCATCTCCAGACAGCTGACAACAGCAGTCACCTGTGAGTGGTGACGGGCTAGACCCTGTCACATGCACACCACGTCTAGCAGCTGTCCAGTTTCCTGGGCATGTTTTTGCTGCCATTCTGATGATTCCCTTCATATAACTTTTTCCACGATGTAATCAGCAGTAGTTATCTTGAGACACCCAAGATAACTCCAAGACTATTAGATTCTTAAACAGGATCCCCACTTATTGGTTTAATTTGTGCTATGTTCTTTGATCAAAATACCTTTTAATGTCACTTTGAAGAGCCACGTCAGAATCTGAGTAGGCAGGGGGTTAAAGGGCGGGAAGAATGCCTCTGGCGAAAGCCTGGCCAGAGTCCCCTAGTTTTCACGGACCACATACCCAGAAGAGTTCAGTTGGGGTGTTCCCAGGAGGACTAGGTGAGCAGAACTGGCTAACACCAAAGGCTGATACTTGAAAAGGGAACTCAGAATAAGACTTTCAGTATTTAAAAACAAGAACAGAAGCAATAACAAAAAGACAAAAAAAACCCAAACTCCTCAGCTCTTGTTTATCCCGTTGTAATTAAAACAGTAAACAGCAAGTGTAAAATTTTTATTGGAGAGATGGATGGAAATATGTTTTTTATTGTTAATCTGAAGTCCAGCCTGGTGGATTTACTGATTTGCCTTACTACAAGCATAATTATTATAACTGTAATTATAAAACATTCTTAGATTCCAGGGATTCTCCATCCATTTTATCTTACCCTTCTGGTCAGTCCACAGTCACATGTACAGTCAGCTCTAGAACCCAGGCCTGTACAGCATCAGACCCACAGTGGGATTCATGAAATTCACTTTTCAGTTGCCCTAGAATGTATTGCGTGATGTGAAAATTCTCTTTAAATTTGCAGAGATGTTAGGCCAACATCTATTTGCTTCTAGAACTTGCTATTGCGCTACTTAAGCACAGGTTCTTTTCAATGTATTTATTTTTTCTTTTCAGTATTGTATATAAGTACACAGAAGAGAAGGATGTGAAGACGCCAAGAGTACAGTACTTTTCATACTTGGATATATTTTTTATGAGATTTGGGGGGGTTCTTTTGTGACTTCCACTTGTCCCATTTCATAATAGTTGGTGATTTTTCACTGACCTGCGAGGAAGAGAAATGTACAGAATCATGATAATGTAATTGTAGCACGTTCCTTCCTATTTAAGTTTCAGTCATTTCCTTTTACCTTTTGCGTCAGTGTGCAGAATGCAAAAGAATAAAAAAAGAAAAACTATTTCTCTGTCCATGATTTTTAACTCAAGGCCCCAGCAGTGTCATACACTCTGATTGCTTTCCTTACTTGTCTGATGAAAGGATGCGTGTGATGATAATTAAAACATTTTAGAGACGTCCTTCTTTATCCCATCGTCTTAGATTTGCCACACAACATGCTTGAGTGAAAATGTGCTCCAAAGGCGTCCGGTTTCAGTCTGAGGCCAAGAAAGGTTTGTGAGGTCAGCACTTCAGCCTCTGATTCTGTCACCTGGATAGAAAGTAGAGCTGGGGATCTGATGTTGGCACTTCCACAAAAGGAGTGGGAATCTGAATGGACTTGGGGGGAACTGAAAGTTACCCACGTTCCAGTTAGCTAAAAGCACCCCACGTAAGGCAGGTCTGTCTGCAGTCACCTGCACCTCCTGTGCGGTCAGACTTGTGAGATTTTCTTGCCTTCCGTCAGGAGCATTGGCATTAGCATCCTTCTCTAGTTTTTATGACACATAGTAGGGGAGGAGCCCATCACGTCCATATGTCTGTCCATCCGGCAGTGGTTTCCATTAAAGCAAAGCCTGCAGTTTGTAGACTTACTCAGGTTCCACTTGCTTCTCTGTGATTGGGGGAGAATTCTCCCTCACCCCCAGCCGGAGGGGCTCGGGGGAAGCCTTTCTCTCAGGTCCAAGCTGTGTGGGAGTGCGATGGCGCCCAGGAGCAGAGCACCAAGCATTCGCGTTGCTTGGCACAAGACGGCCCCTCTGCATTATGTGAGTCCTGCTGAGAGGGTTTTCACAGTTTATTAATGAGATTTCCACAACCCCGCTTTATTCTCCAAGCAGTTTATGCGGTCTCTAGGAACAACAAATATATCTGGGCACTGAGGTTGAATGAACACCAGACAATTGTGTGAACGTTGCATTGGCCCTCCTCCTCTCTCCCTCCCCAAGCCGAGCAGCATTCCTGTTCCAGGAGCGGTGGTGTGATTTCAAACAATCGCCTGGTTGAAGGATGTGGGGGCAGGAGGGGGAGGAGGGAGGAAAGGGGTGGTGCCTGCTCTGGGGAAGTATATGTGGCATTTTGTCGCACTTTATTTTAAAGATCAGAGTAATTGGAAACCATTATTTTTTAATAACTCAGGAAAGGTGAACAGAAACATTTCACAAGGTTTTACTGTGTGCACACCAAAAAGGAAACACTTTATGCTGTGCTTCCATAATTTATCACTTCTTGACAGGGGCTTGAAAGGGTTCAGTCAGTAAGTACAAATCACCAGGACAACTTTTTTTTTTTCCCCAAGTGGTGTATCAATCATAAACAACCCCCAGATCTCGGTGGTTTGAAACAAATGATTCTCACTCATGCTCCACGTCCACAGGGGCAGTCGGTGGGATTCCGCTCGTTGTGGTCACCTGGGGGCTCTGGCTCTTCTTTCTACCATCTTGTTTCTGCCATCTCGGTGTGACTGAGGCTTGGTGCCACAGGGGAGGGGCATAAGCAATCACGCTGGCTCGGCTCGTAAATGCTTTCGCCGGTGGTGACCCCAGTCACTTTCCCTCCATCTTACTAGCCAAAGCAAGTAACATGGTCATGGTTTACTCTAAGTTTCCTGGAAAGTGTAATTTTTTTTTTTTTACAGGTCCAGGAGAGAAAACCAGAAATGTTGGTGAACAATGACAATATTTACCACAGAGTGTGTGTTAGGGTTCTCCAGAGAAACACACACACACACACACACACACACACACACACACTGAAAGAATTGGCTCACATGATTGTGAGGACTGGCAAACCCAAAATTCACAGGGTTGGCTGGTAGGCTGGAGGCCTGGGGGAGTTCTACCTGAGGCAGTCTGCTGACAGTTTCCCCTTCTGGGGAGGTCAGTTCATTCTTAAGGTCTTTAACCAATTGGATGACACACACCCACATTATGGAAGGTAATCTGCTTTACTCAGAGTCTACTAATTTAAATGTGAATCTCATCTAAAAAACACCTTCACAGAAACACCTAGAATGTTTGGCCAAATATCTGGGTACCATGGCCTAGCCAACTTGACACATAAAATTAACCACCACAGTATATTAACTGTATCCTTTGCATTATAACTCTCTCTACCAGAAACTAAAAAGTATACCCAGATCCAAAGCTGCAAAGTCTTAAATTTTATTGCACATGAAAAAAGAATCCTTTCTCTGCTAACAGTGGGGTTGAGAAACCTGGGTTCCTGGAGCTTTCATTACCTCTTCATTAGATTCCAGAGAGAACTAGTGATTGGTTCCTTCCACGGTTTCAGAAGCTGGGTCTGGATAGATTGCTCTGGTTTGGTTTTGTTGTTGCAGGATAACTTAGAAATTCCCAGCTAATATGTTCCTAAATTAAAAAAAAAAATGCAGAAGGTGAGAACAACCTTTCCATAGAGCAGGTAAGCATTACCCCAAGCCACTTATTGTGGGGAGATGCTCTTGGAGTCTTCAGTATGCATCAGAACCGTGCTCTGTAAACCATTTCAGAGGCATGGGGTGTACTCCATCTAACACTGATTGACCCTTAGCACTTTCCATACATTAGATTTATATGATGCTCACTTTTCAGTGTATTTGGAACCCTTTACAAGTACGGATCTATCCTGCGAGAGTGAATGTGCTGCCCATCTTGTTGAAAGATAACTTGTTAGTAGGCCCTGATCTTGGAACCAGGCAGAGTTCGCTTCACACCCTCTGGCGGATCTCTGAGATGCCGGAAGTGCAGCAGTAGACCACCACATGGCTGCTAAGCCCCGTCCCCATTTCATTGGCCACCTGAGCTAATCCCCACATTCTCCCATTGTGGTTGCTGAACAAGGCAGTCTCCTTTTTTTCCAGATGTGGAGACCTAAAGCAAAGAAGCAAAGATTGCCCCGGGTCACTCGGGGAATCACTGCCACTAGAGTAGCAGTTCTCACTGCTATTTGATCAGGCTCTTAAATGTCAAACTCCTGTCCGTTGATTCCGTCCAGTGTGCATGGAATCAAAAAATCAATTTTCTCTTGTCTTCAAGCTCCCAGTAATCTAAATTGGAAGGTCCCGCCCGAGGTGTGCTCGTGGACTGCCGTCCCCTGCATTCAGAGATGGGCTGCTGACGATGATTTGTTGTCACTTACTCAAGTATGACGGGCAAGATCACAGGTAGCCAGCAGCCCTTTGCACACTGGCCCAGGTAGGACCCGCCCCTTGGCTGGTGTCTGCAGACAGTTTGCAGTCTTGCTTTTCTTGAGATGACTGTCTCCTAGAATTTGTTTTTCTCTCCAGAGCGTCCCTATTCCTAATGACTACATGACAGACTGTTTGCCAGTGGCCCTTCGCTGTGTCTTCATGTTAGAAGCCACATCATCAGACGCAGTACGTACATAAGAGTTGGAGGCAGGCTGTGTGTGACTCTCAGTCACCTCTACCTTCCTGGCCCAGGTCTGGCTGGACCCCTTGTCCTTCGTCCCAGGCTCATTTGCTGCGATGGCTAATAAATACAAATAATTTGGTGCTATGTGAAGCGCGAGGCCTGCCAGGCCACTCAACCACCCTCCCTGTAACTCCTCACTGTCCTTAAGTGTCAGCCCACACATGCTACCCCCACCACCCATGACACCCCTCTGTACCCTAATCCCGAGCACATGTGAGGCTTAAAATCCAACTAGGTCCCATCATATTTCACGGCAAATATGTTTTGCTTCATATACTTACTTAGGGCATCACTTTTGCTGTTTCTATCATTTCTCAGTTATTATAGAAACTTTTTAAAATCATTTTTAAAAGTCTTTTTCATTGAAACTGGTCACTTTGAAAACTGTGAGGACAAAGTCCAGGATGTCAAGGGATGTAGTAGGCTTTGATCAAAATGTCATATTGTTTCAGAAGAAAAGAGAAATATCTATATTATGAAATATTAAAATAGAGGGTGGAGAATAGGCACCTTCCTCCCACCTCCCAGTTAGAAACGTTTCCCACAAGGGGCACTTGGGTGGCTCAGTCAGTTAAGTGCTCCGCTCTGACTCAGGTCATGACCTCATGGTTTGTCAGTTAGAGCCCCGTGTCAGGCTCTGTGCTCACAGCTCAGAGCCCGGAGCCTGCTTCAGATTCTGTGTCTTTCTCTCTGCCCTTCCCCTGTTCTTGCTCGCTCGCTCTCTCTCTCTCAAAAATAAATAAAAACATTAATCTTTTTTTTCTTTTTTAAAAAAGAAATGTTTCCCACATGGATTGCATTTTGCCCATTCAGGGAAATGAAAGTGTTTTAACCAAAAGGAAAGCCAGGTTAGAGACTCAAGCTATCAGACAATTTAAAGATCCTTCTTTTTATTAAAAACCCTTGCAAACTTTTAATAGGCTCGTTTTTTATGTCATTTGTTCTCCTTTAATGAATGGAACTTCTCCAAAGCCAACACATTTTCTTTTTCCTTCCATCTTTCTTCCTCTGTTTTATGGGAGAGAAACCAGCTGTCAGACTCCACAGTTCCAGTCCCTGACTCCACCCCTCCAAATTATACAGGCATCATTTCCCTCAAAGTTGCCCTGATTCTGAGTTCATGTCAGTATTCTAACAAGCCGACCATTCCTCAAAACTCCTATGTGGAGGCGAAAGGGGTGTGTTAAAGTCACCATTTTATTTCCGCGGGAGCGGGACTCCTACGAAGTCAGTGACCTATCAGAAAGCTGGAGAATGAGCATCGCTGAGCTAGCTGCTTTGGGAATTTAACGAAACATGAAGGAAGACATTCCCATCTGCCTTGTCGAGTAAGAGACGCATTACTCCAGTTTAGACTGGAAACAGGAGACAAGTTAACTTTGGAGCCATTGTAGACTGGAGGCTCCCTGAGGGTAAGTAAGGCTGTATTTTGGCATTTTATCTCCAATACCTGAAGGTGTCTGCCACATTGGTGTTCAGTTTGCTGTCTTCCTGCTGACAACTCCACAGAAACTCAGTCTTAATGCCCTTAAATAATTTACCTCTGTCTTTGGCAAGCATTTTTGCTTCCAGATGGAAATACTCTCATCCTCAGTATCAGGCCCATTATTATTATTACTTGAAAGTTTGAAAACACTGGCAAGGAGGCAAGTTACAGGGCAATGGGGACCTTAATGTTCTAACATATGCTGGAGGTTCATCCTGCTACAAGGAGACCATCTGACATATTCTTGGCTTGCCTGGCTGATGGTTCCATTGCTTGGAAATTAGAGGACATACCAGGGAGGGCTGATACTGGACCTGTAAGGAGGAAATGCCACCCAACAGGGAAGTGATGGTAAACTGAGCAAGAAATTACTTTGTCACCCTGGTATGTGTACCAAGGAATAAATGTTGCATGAGGTCAGACATGTCTCCTGGCCTTTCTGAAAGTAGATGTCAAAAAGTTCAGAGAAAATGTCACCTGTGGGAAGAGAATCCAGAAGCTTAGGAACCTTTATTTATTTATTTATTTATTTATTTATTTATTTATTTATTTATTTATTTTAAGTATACTTAATTTGAGAGAGAGAGCACACATGCACACATGCAGGATGGGGGAAGGGCAGAGAGAGGTGAGAGAATCCTAAGCAGGCTTCATGCTCTCAGCACAGAGCTCAGCACGGGCGGGGCTAGATCTCACAAACCATGAGATCATGACCTGAGCCGAGATCAAGAGTCAGATGCTTACCTGACTGAGCCACCCTGGCACCCCAGGAAACTTTTAAAAGTCTCCTATACACAGACTGTAAAGAGAAAGTAAAGGCCAACACCTTCAGAGGGTTCTGTGTAGAAATATGGAATAGCCCACAGGTATTGAAGGCTGGCTTTCTGCTGGCCGCTGTTCTAAGCTCTTTACAACTCTTAATTTTTCCCAACAACCTCACGAAAAAGACTTTATTCCTTCTGCAAATGGGGAAATCTAAGCTCAAAAAGGAACTTGCTCAATATCCTCAGCTAGTAAGGGGCAGGGGTGGGATTTAAGCCCCTCAGGTTGGCTCCAGAGACTTTAAACCATCACCTGAGTGTGTCAGGAAGCCAGGACCCCCAATGAAAGGAGGTTTTGTAGAATAAAGCGAACAACAAAAGAAGGACAGGCCTGCTTGTTAATGAGGACTGGTCAGCATTAGGCATTAACAGGTGACTGCTATGGTCTTCCTTTCTTTATTCTTTTTTTACTTCCTTTCTTTCTTTATTCTTTTTTTAATGTTTATTTATTTATTCTTAAATAGTTTATTGTCAAGTTGGTTTCCATATAACACCCAGTGCTCATCCCCACAAGTGCCCTCCTCCATGCCCATCTCCCCCCTTCATACCCGTCAGCCCTCAGTTTGTTCTCAGCATTCAAGAGTCTCTCATGGTTTGCCTCCCTCCCTCTAATGTTTATTTATTTTGAGAGAGAGAGAGCACAAACCAGGGAGGGGCAGAGAGAGACGGAGGAGGATCTGAGGCCGGCAGCGCAGAGAGCCTGACATGGGGCTCAAACTCAGAAACCGTGAGATCATGGCCTGAGCTGAAGTCGGACACTTAACCACTGAGCCACCCAGGTGCCCCACCTTTCCTCACTCTTCAAAAGGAGGAATCGCCAAACTGAAAACACTGCTGGGAGAGAAACAGTCCATGCAAACACTGAAGGCTGTGCGGCCTCTTAAGTCAGCTCCAGTCTCCAGCGGCACCGATGCAGAGGCCGCTGCACAGAACAGCTTGCTGGCGGCCCGCTGTTAGGAGCTTGCGTGATTCAAGAGATGAGAGATGAGCAAGAGCTCCGCCTTAACAAAACGAGACCTAAAGGATAGGGAGACAATAGACTGGTAAAGTTGTTAAAAACTTGCACTACTCAAAAAAGGAGAACAAGGCTTAGAAAAGGTGGGGGTTTTTTTTGTTTGTTTGTTTGTTTGTTTTTTTTAGAAGGCAAGGAAGAGTCACTTGAACAAGTCATATCAAGACCACACAATAGTTTATCATCAGAGTTTCTAAACTACTGACCTACAGGAATATAATTGTAATGTCCTCACCGTCACCATCGTGTCATCCTGGCTAACAACCACTGAGCAGTCTCCATTCGCCACATGTCATTTAAAGCGCTCAGCATATATCACCTCGTTTAATGTTCAGGACCAACCATCCTGTATCCTAGTAATGGCCTTTAAAAAAAATTTTTTTTTTTTACATTTATTTTGAGAGACAGAGCACAAGTGGGGGAGGGGCAGAAAGAGAGAGGGTGACACAGAATCCAAAGCAGTCTCCAGGCTCCGAGCTGTCAGCACAGAGCCCGCCACGGGGCTCGAACTCACATACTCGGTCTCTCTTAATCTTATCACATGGAACACCACTTCTCATCCTTGTGGACAGAAATAAAATAGAGTAAGGGCACCTGGGTGGCTCAGCTGGCTAAGCGTCCAAAATCAGCTCAGATCATGATCTCACAGTCTGTGGGCTGGAGGCCCGCGTCAGGCTCTGTGCCAACAGCTCAGAGCCTGGAGCCTGCTTCAGATTCTATGTCTCCCTCTCTTCCTGCCCCTTCCCCACTTGTGCTCTCTCTCTCTCAAAAATAAATAAACATTAAAAAAAAAGAAAGAAAACAGATAGTCGTTAGTATGATCAGAGAATGCACAACTGATTCCTGGAAATGGAAGGACTTAAGTGTACATAAACACAGCCGTGTGGTACAACTGTGCTTATAATGTTACAATCTGTTCTTGCTTCTATACAGCTTAATATTTTCATCAATTACTCAGGTAAAGGGAAAAGAAAGAGTTTTCAGGTGGTGTAGTGCAGGTAGGGAAAGATAATACTAGAAACTGAATCAAGAGTGAGAAAGCCCAAGGAACTGGATGAAGAGTAAAAGCAATAAACTGGAAGCAAAAAGCACTTCGATTTAGGGTTTGGGTTTTTGTGGCTTTTTTTTTTTTTAAAGTATATAACACAGTTTGGGGAGACCCAGAAATACTGAATCCCATTGTTGGAAGGAATTCTTGGTTTTCTAGCTCACCTAAGCATTCCCACTAAATCTACTTCAGTGTTTTTAGTTCCACATGATGGGAGATGCAATCAATTTAGTGGATAAAGATCAGTAGTTTAAAAAAGTAAACCAGAAAAAAAAAATCAAAGTGAACCACTTATAGGAATTATTAGTATTATTGTGTGAGCTTTTGTTTCCATTTTATTCTTGGTTGTGTATGCCCTTGATGGTGATATAAAATTTATTTCCTACTGTGGTCAAAAAAATTGAAAGCCACTGCTGTGGCCAATTCTTAAAATACATTTCTTTCTTCATTAATATACACTATCTATGGGGAAATACAGAGATTTGTACTTTGTACAGATATGACTCACAGGAAGATTTTTTTTCTCATGTAATATTAAATTTAAATGTGTCTCATTGTAGCTTGAGCACACTGGC